CCCGCCCTCACCTCGCTGCTCTCCCATTGGCGGTGGGCAGCCCCGCCCCGGCTCAGGGCTCTCCCATTGGCTGAGTGAAGCTGAGGGCGTCGCCCAGCGCTCCCCATTGGCTGCGGCGGCTCTGGAACAGCCCCACCCACACGCCCAGGCCCAGCCCCCAGAGCGCCGCGCCCACGGCCGAGCGCAGCACGTCTGCGAGAGACGGAAACGGCCAAAATCAGCCCAAAACAGCCCAAAAACTGCCAAAAACAGCCCAAAACCAGCCTGAAATCAGCCCAAAATCAACCGAAAAACTGCCCAGAAAATGCCCCAAAACAGCCCAAAATCAACCCCAAAACTGCCCAAGAACAGCCCAAAAGCAACCCAAAATCAGCCCAAAATCAGCCCCAAAACAGCCCAAAATCAGCCCCAAAACAGCCCAAAAACTGCCAAAAACAACCTGAAATCAGCCCAAAATCATCCCAAAAAATGCCCAAAACCAGCCCAAAATCAACCCCAAAACTGCCCAAGAACAGCCCAAAAGCAACCCAAAATCAGCCCAAAATCAGCCCCAGAACAGCCCAAAATCAGCCCCAAAACAGCCCAAAATCAGCCCCAAAACAGCCCAAAACCTGCCCAAAATCAGCCCCAAAACAGCCCAAAATCAGCCCAAAATCAGTCCAAAATCAACCCCAAAATCAGCCCAAAAACTGCCCCAAAACTGCCCAAAATCAGCCCAAAATCAACCCAGAAACTGCCCAGAAACTGCCCAAAATCAACCCAAAACCAGCCCAAAAACTGCCAAAAACAACCTGAAATCAGCCCAAAATCAACCCAAAAAATGCCCAAAATCAGCCCAAAATCAGCCCCAAAACTGCCCAAAAACTGCCCCAAAACTACCAGCCCAAAACCAGTCCCCAGCCCAAAATCAGCCCAAATCAAACCGAAAAACTGCCCAAAAACTGCCCAAAACCAACCCAAAATCAGCCCAAAAACAGCTCAAAAACTGCCCAAAATCAGCCCCAAAACAGCCCAAAACCAGCCCAAAACCAGTCCCTGAAACCCCCAAAACCGGTCCTCAAACCACCCAAAAACCAAAAAAACTCCCAAAATCAACCCAAAAATCAGCCCCAAAAATCATCCCCAAATCAGCCCCAAAATCACCCAAAATCAGCCCAAAATCAGCCCAAAATCAGCCCAAAATCAGCCCAAAATCAGCCCAAAATCAGCCCAAAATCAGCCCAAAATCAGCCCAAAATCAGCCCAAAATCAGCCCAAAATCAACCCAAAATCAGCCCAAAAACAGCCCCAAAACAGCCCAAAACCAGCCCAAAACCAGTCCCTGAAACCCCCAAAACCGGTCCTCAAAACACCCAAAAAACAAAAAAACTCCCAAAATCAACCCAAAAATCAGCCCCAAAAATCATCCCCAAATCAGCCCCAAAATCACCCAAAATCAGCCCAAAATCAACCCAAAATCAGCCCAAAATGTGCCCAAAATCACCCCAAAACCAGCTCCAAATCAGCCCCAAAATCACCCCAAATTTGCCCAGAAATCCCCAAAATTTCCCCCCAAAACCCCCCAAAAATGAACCAGAAAAAAACCCCAAAATCTCCTTAAATTTCCTCAAAATCCCCTCCAAACTCGACCCCAAAATCCCCCAAATCCCCCCCAAAAATAACCCAAAATCGTTTTGATTCACCCCAAAATTCACCCAAAATCCCCCAAAATTCACCCAAAATCCCCAAAATTCACCCAAAATACCCAAAATTCACCCAAAATTCACCCAAAATCGCCCAAATCCCCCTCAAACAGCCCCAAATTCACCCAAAACGGCCCAAAATGACCCAAAAAATTCAAAATATCGACCCCAAAACTCCCAGATTTCCCAAAATTCCCCCCAAATTTCCCCCAATCCCCAAAAATTCCACCCAAATCCCCCCAAATTCCCCCCAAACTTTCCCAAATTCCCTCCAAACTCCCAAATTCTCCCAAATTTTCCCCAAAGTTGCCCCAAAATCTCCCAAATTTTCCCAAAATTTCCCAAATTTCCCCAAATTTTCCCCCAAAATTCCCAATTTTCCCTAAAATCCCCCTCAAATTTCATCCAATTCCCAAAAATTCCACCCAAATCCCTCCCAAATTCCCCAAGTTTTCCCAAAAATTCAGTTTTCCCAAAATCTCCCCCAAATTTCCCCAAATCCCCCTCGAACTTCCCCAAATTCCCCCCAAAATTCCCAAATTTTCCCAAAAATCCCCCCCAAATTTTGTCCAATCCCCAAAAAATTCCACCCAAATCCCCCCAAACTTCCCCAAAATTGACCAAAATTCCCAATTTTCCCCAAATTCCCCCCAAAGTTCCCAATTTTCTCCAAAATCTCCCCAAAACTTCCCCCAATCCCCAAAAATTCAACCCAAATCCCTCCCAAATTCCCCAAAATTTCCCAATTTTCCCAAAATCCCTCAAACCCTCCCCCCAACCCCCAAACTTTCCCAAATTCCCTCCCAAAATTTCCCAATTTTCCCAAAAATCCCCCTCGAACTTCCCCAAATTCCCCCCAAAATTCCCAAATTTCCCCAAAATTCCCAAATTTCCCCCCAAAACTCCCAAATTTTCCCAGAATTCCCCCCAAAATTCCCTAATTTCCCCCAAATTTCCCCCAAAACTCCCAAATTTCCCCCAAATTCCCCCAAAATTCCCAAATTTCCCCCAAAATTCCCAAATTCCCCCAAAATTCCCAAATTTCCCCAAAATTCCCCCAAAATTCCCAAAATTCCCCAAAAATTCCCAAATTTCCCCCAAAATCCCCAAATTTCCCCCAAATTCCCAAAAAATTCCCAAATTTCCCCCAAAATTCCCAAATTTCCCCGAAAATTCCCCCCAAAATT